ACTCAGGATACCACCACTTGGAGACCTAGTGGCAGAATACAATGGTGTAAAGCTCTTTGCAACGGTTAGGGATGGAAGGCAGATGTTCGCCGTGTGAACGCCAGTAAGTACACCGATTCCAACCGGCACCTATACCGTTGCAAATGCCCCGTCTGAACGCACCCATAATGTATGAAGGAAGTGGATTAAATGGCTGACTAGTTGAGGAAAAAATTGGGTATTTCCTTTTGCCCTTGACTTTGAATGAGTTATATTTTGTATATTATGAATGTGACCTGCCAAAAAGTCTTTTGATCCTTGTCTGCATTCCCTCTTTGTATTTATTTTTGGAGATGTTATACCTTTATTTTTGTTACATTGCTTTTTTTTTTTTGAGGTAATGTGAGATGCTGTTAGCCGAATTGCTCTTTAGGAGAGACAATTGGAACAGTTTAGTAATCAGGATTCAGGTCTATGTCTACAGAGGATGGGCTGCGCTAATACATTTCAATGAAGAGACAGAAACCAATGTAAAGTTTTCTTTAGTTTACTAATTATCAATCAAGGCACACAATAATATTCACACACACACAAGAACTAATAAAACAGGTAGATTTGGTACAGCACGGTTGCATTAGCAGGTTTATCGTTGAGGGGAGATATTTACCTCTGGTGATTGCGCGGCTCCTAAAGCTTCCAGGCGGGAGGTAGGTGGGAGGGAAGGAAAATGGTAGAAGCACGTGTAACCAGACCAGCTGAGAACACGTGAATTGCCTTAGCTGCAGACTAAGGTAAAGCGAGGCAGGGGTGTTGGTATAGAAAGCTGGATTTGAGAGGAGAAGCAGACAAACAGGGGTTGTTGGTAAGGAGAAGGATGCGTGGCCGCTCTGTGTTCGATGTTTTAACTCCTCTTGCGAGCAGGAGGGGGGTGGACCCAAGCGGATTACCAGGTGGCCCTACCCTACAGGTCAGGGATTGGCTACGGGGTCAATTTCCAATCTATTGATTAACTTGAAGGGTGGTACTTGGGCAGGGGCGGGAAATACGTGCGGAGGGACCAGCAGCTGCTGACTCATCTTTAGGCATGTGGAATGAATGTCCATTGTCGTCTAGCATCGGGGGAACTCTGAGTTAAGCCATTCAAGCTGGAGACCAGGTGTTGGGGCTAGCTAATGAGTTTCTGTGTTTGCTGAAGACCTTGTGTTTGTTCACACACAATAAACAGGAGACACTGGGACCCTCCTTGGAACGCCGTTGATTCAGCAGATTACCACTCTCAGCTGGTATTATCATCGCTGGGTGCCCTTTCAGTGAACTCTGTATCACACAGTCTCTTTTCATTAGCCCTTTGCATTATGCTTTATTCTTAACATAGTCCAGAAATACCCTAATATGAAGCACTGGGGCTAACAATGCCATTGAGGGAATATTCTTTCTTGATGTCTAATACTGTACAATCTTATATACTGGTAAGTAAGGAATATTGCTTAGTGTGTTGGCAGGGTTTTAGGATGGCAGTGGAAAGGGGGGGAAAGAAGGAAGTGGGGAACCATATGTTCTGCAATGTTGATGTTAAACCTCTAAGTTCTAATAACTGAACATCCATAACATGCAATACCTAGTAGCTAGGTACTGGAACTGAAAATATTGTAATATTCCTGTTCAGAGTTCCGAGGTATTGATATTTAGTCTTTTTATACTATAAAAAGGATTCTACATTCCACTTACCATAGAATAGAATCTGCTGTAAAATCTATTGTGACTAATGCAGTTTTGCATGTACAATTCTACTCTGGAAGTATCAAGAAATAAAAGTGTTCTGAACTAATTGGTCACATTAAAAAAAAAAAGATTAGGCCCTTTTGGCCTTTTTAAATCACCCACTTTAGGCTTCAAAAAGGTGGTGGCATCCCCATATCGCAGACAATGAAGCTGTTGCATCTAATTTGGCCCCAGTGAGTCAGCCTTGCAGCTTTCTTCCTCTGCACTATCCCAGGAGGATGAAATCACTCCTTTTTATTGTATCTTTTTAATATACACCAGTAATGATGGATGAGGGACAAAATGTGGACAGCAGTGTGGGAAAGTCATTCTGAATGTTTAAAGCAACCCAAAACATTTGGAAATGGAAGTGTCATAGACCATCACAGTTTATATTGTTGTAGTGGTCTAAATTTTGTTTCAGCTATAGGTCTATTATGCATAGGTGTTTTTGCCTCGCTTTCACCGTGCATGTTTGTCAGGTTTTCTTTTTTGTTCTTCATTGATTTGCCTCCCTTTTGTGCTCAGTTTGCTTTCTAGTTGCTGTTTCCCTGAGTTTTCTGAGTATGCTTTTGAAACAATTTTTCCCTTTCTTTGCTTTCAAGCCAAAAGTAATTCAAAAGCATACAGATTCTCCTCCACCCTTTTCCCACCCCTTGAAGACCACTCCACCACCCATATTGAGGTTGTTCCACCCATTCTGTGCCTTCCACCATCCTCCCCCCTTCATTGGTGTACAAGCTCCATTTTCACCTAGTTTTAAGATGTTTATTTTTTTACAAGCAGTATGAGACTACCGCTAGTCTTGGATCACTAAATAAAAAAAAATAAAATGAGGGGAGAGGTTTAAAAGGAGCTGCATGAGGTTAGTTCCCTGCTGGTATTGACTTGAAAGGGGGATCAGAGAGGGGGCAAATGGCAGCATCCCCAGTGCACACACACACAAAAAAAAGATTTCTGTGCTGCAAGCAAACAAAATAAAGGGGGGGGGGATCGTCAGCATGGAATGAAATTGACATGAGATGTAAAGAGAGAGCGAGAGACTGGGCTTTGAAAAAACATTTTCCCTGTAATGCTTTATTGAACAAAGTTTTTTTTTGGGGGGGGACCATTTTGGCAGTCTCTGGAAGCCTAACATTAAAATGGTGGCTGAAAAGAAAAAAAGGGGTGGGGGATTTTTGCTGATGCCCTAGTGCAGCTGCATAGTAATGATAATTTCCTGCCCTTCTTTGCAAATCTGCATGGTTTTCTCTTTATGATTCTTTAATTTGATTCTGAACACTGATCGTGATCTTGGCAGTTTCTAAAGGTCTGTCCTGTGTGGATTGCACTAATGGTGCCAAAACGCCCATGCATAATAGGCCATCCTCGATTCAACTTCAGAAATGGAATGGAAGCTCCAAGGTACCCTGGATATGTCAGAGGCATTTTACTTCTTTCTCTGTTTGTAAATGTGAAAAAAATGATGATGAATCCAAGGGGAAGGGCAGGGATAGGCATTGGGAGGTAGAAAGAAGACCAAGAGTTAAAGGCAACATTACTGTAACATCTAAGGGTGTTTTTATAACTACACTTCAAATTCTATATTGAGCCTTCTTTCTCATTACCACCCTGCCATTGGTGCATACCAGCTCCGGATCGGCAGGATGCTTTGTTTGGCTCTTCTCATTACTAACAGTTCACTTATGGACTTATTAACCTCCCCCCCCCCCATTCTCTGCACTCCCTATGAGGGAGAACAAAGACTCCACATGCTGCTAAGACTCATCAGCTCCATTTAATTCCCAACTGGTTGCTCATCATTCCTGTCTCTTTTGCATATTTCATACAATAAAAGTCAGTGACTGGAGGATGTGAGAAGCAGGAGGCCAGTCCTCCAGCCATAGAGAGATTATCCTCCAAGGGAATTGTAGAGCCGCAGTGTCATTTTCCCTGTAGGATAGAAAAAATATTATAATGGGGAAGAAAAGAGATTCATAGCAGGGTTCAAACTAATAGATCTATTTAACTGGTAATAAAGCTTCTGCCAGAAGACTCCTTTCCCATACACATTTCAGCCCTGTGCAAAGTGTAGTGGAGTTGCAGCCAACTTTGCACAGGCATGCGCGCACACACACACCTTGCTAATAACCACAGCTTGCAATGCCAGTGTCAGTGGGTTCTACTGTGCATTCTGTACACTCAACATGTTCCCTCCTATGAAGAGATTGTGTGACTCCCATTTTTCACAGTGGCTGATAACACAGCAGAGAATCCCCTATTGCTCGGCAATATGGAAAATAGGACTTCACCACTTCTTGTCAATTTCAGAAAAAGTCTGGTCAATTTCACCAGTGGGTTTTTCTCCTTTGCCTGTGTTCCTTTCTGTTCCTTTCCATTCAACAAACTAATGCCAAAATACATGAGTAAAACCTGAATCAGGAGGATTTAAATGGAAGGTGCTTGCTGGATGCTACTGTGCATAATTTAAAAAAAAAAACTTGGAAACCACCCACCACAGGTCACAAGATTTAGAAAGGTGTGGATTTTTAAATTGTAGCTGCAGAATAAATACACTGGAGGAAAAAGAATGGTGCATAAGGTGGTGACAGAATCTGAAGTCAAGCATAAAGGCTTACTGCTCGGTAAATTTGCAGTAAGATGTGCATATGCAATGGGCCTTTGTTTGCTATTGCTAGCCGTTAGATATCATCCAATAGCAACTATATCTGTCGCAATACCTAAATCAATCAAATGAGACCTCTTTCAAAATAAATACTGTGCAAATTAAAGGTTTGTGAGATAAAGGAAACTTTTGGAATGGCATCTGTGTTTCACATTAGGTAGCAATTTACCATTCCCTATGCATTCCCCACTTGACTATTAAACAAATCTGAGTTCTTAAACATACTCTGTGCCAGAAAAAACAGTCTATAGGTGTCACATCCTATAACCAATTATTAATATTGTCAATTATATTCACACTTTCCTGTATGGGTTTGACTTTGCTTTTAATTAGATTTTAAAGAAGTAATCTATATCAGAATTTTGGAACAGTAGGTAAATGCATCATTTTTCTCCTTTGTCTCAGTTGAAACAGCTTCATAGTGCTGTTGTTCAGACAAATATTGGATGTTCTGCACTGGAAAATGTATTTGAGAAATGTTTATAGCATGCTCAATTTCACAAGGAAAGGTCTATTGTCAATAAGATGATGATTCATCTTCTGTTAAATCATGTTGGAAGAAAAGTGCTAATCCTGAAATGTCCTTGTTTCACAGCTGTGACTTGCCCCAGCATTGAGACTCTGCTCTCAGAACATGTTGTCTGGAGACTGATTTCTGGGTCAGTGAATGAGTTTGGAACACAAGTCATGCTGAGTTGCAGCCCTGGCTATTATTTAGAGGGTCAGAGACTCATGCTGTGCAAAGCTAATGGAACATGGAGTGGTGCTGATGAGAGACCAACCTGTAAGGGTAAGAAACATTTATTTATACTCCTCTCAGTTCAGTCTAAAGACATTCCTTGTCTAATGCAAGTACAATCTATGTAGAGGACATTAACATTTGATAATAGATTTACAGAGTATTAGGGTCATAATTAATCAGGTTCTCATGTGTAAATAACTGGGACCTGCACAAAAGCATGGTAAATTAATTAGATATAAAATAGTTTATTTCTTTCTAGTTCATTTGTACACTGATAAGTATAACTATCTACATCAGTCTCCTTTTTTCTTCCAAAATAAATTGCTTATTAGATCTGTTTCATAGCCTGTGTTTTTCCTGGCACACACATGGAGTTCCTCTGTGAGTTAACATCAATGGAGGGGGCAATTAATTGCATGCAAAGAAGCTTTCCCCACTGAAATGATTGAGGAAGGTCTTGAGCAGGGGTGGCCAAACTTGCTTAATGTAAAAGCTACACAGAATAAATGTCAGATGTTTGAGAGCCACAAGACATGAACAAATATTACACACGTTTTATTGAAAAATATGCAGATTTGCTTTTTATTAACATTAAATGAGACTGCCAAACAAAACAGGTAAAAACAGATATTGATAACGATATTTATTTGTCCAATGATATTTATTTGTTTGTTAAAGATATTTATTTGTCTAAGAGAGAGAGAGAGAGATGGAGAAAGGTGGAAAGAAAGAGACAAAGAGACTGAGAAACAAAGAAAGCAAATAGATGGGGGAGGGAGGGAGGGAGGGTGAAGAAAGGAACGGAGAGAGCGAGGGAGGGAGAAAGAGAGAAATAAAGGTGGAAAGATAGCAAATCAAAGGGGAGAGAGGAAGTAAGGGGGAAATAGAGAAAAACAAAAAAAGCAAATAGATGGGGGAGGAAGGAAGAGAGACAGAGAAAGAGAAAGAAACAAAGAAAGCAAGTAGATGGGGGAGGGAGGGAGGGGGAAGGAAAGAAGGAAGGAAGGGTGAAATAAAGGAAGGAAGGGAGAAGGAGAGGAAAGGTGGAAAAGAGGAGAAAGAGAATGAGAGAGAAACAGAAACAAAGAAAGTAAATAGATTGGTGAAGGAGGGAGGGGAGGGAGGAAGGAAGAGAGAAAGAAAGAAAGACAAAGAAAGGAAGGGAGAAAGAAAGAAAGAAAAGAAAGAAAATAAATGGGGAGTGAGGGCGGGAGAGGTGGGAAAAAGCAACTTTAATGTGTTCTCCAACACACACACCCCGCCCTCATGCCAGCTTGGAGAAGGGATTTAAAGAGACAAATGCCTTCTCCAAGCTGGCAGGCGGGGGCTTGGTGAACCCCTTTAACTTTAAATGTGTTCTCCAAGTCCCTCACTCCACTGCCATGCTGGCTTGGCTTGGAGAAGGGATTTATAGAGACAAATGCCTTTTCCAAGCCAGCCAGCCAGTGTCACAGTGTGGCAGGGCTTGGAGAATACATTTAACTTTAGATGGAAAAGGAGGGGAGAAAGGAAAAAAGTGGAAAGAGAGCAAATAGATGGGGGAGGGAGGGAGAGGTGGAAAGAAAGCAACTAACTTTAAAATGCATCCTCCAAGCCCCCCACACCCCCATGCCAGCTGGCTTGACTTGGAGAAGAGATTTAAAGAGATAAATGCTTTCTGTTGGGAGGGGGCACTTTGAGAATGCATTTAAAGATAAAGTTGCTTTCTTTTTCTGCTCTCCCCCACCTCAAGCCTACCCAGGGAGGGGAACACTGGCTGGAGAAGGGAAAACTGACTGGGGAGGCATGCTCCCCTTTGCTTCCCCAGCTGCCCTGGTGAAAGAGCCATATGAGGCTCCCAAACCACAGTTTGGCCACCCCTGGTCTTGAGGATGTGAGGCTTCAGTGTGCACATTGAAACCTTTCATTCAGAACTGAACCAGGGGATTGTCTTAATATATACATAATGTCATACATATGTTTCACTAAACATATTATTTGTCCAAGCTGATAAATTCTTATCCAAGACACCTCATGTATTTGCTGTTCTTACTGCATCTTAAATTAATTGTGATTTGAATTCATCAATCACATTCAAGTGTAATTACACAGATAAGCTAATTAATCAGAGATTAAGTGAATACTTAAGTAACAGATCAATCAAAGATGAGTTGAACTATCTATTTGATCTTGGAAAATTATTTGTCATTAAATATTTAAAGACATTAAACTATTTTATTATAAGGCCCCCTCAAGAGAATCAATGCATTGGGGGGGGGGGTAGCCATCTCGAGGACTATACATATAATGGAAAGACAGGGTATAAATATTCTAAATAAAAATCAGTAATTCAATATTGCTTTGATGAGTTTTGTGAAGGTAGAATGCTACGGTTTTCTATGGACCAGGATCTGAAGCACCTTATAAAAACTTCCATTTGCCAAAGTGGCCTTGACCTTGTTTTTGAAATATGGAGTCTCCCTTGTTTATTTTATTTAAAACGTTTCTATGCTGCCTTTCTACACAAATAGGGTCCCAACTTCGTTAAAATATGCCTGGCATCCTGCTTCTTAGACTGGGGGAAAATTCAAAATTACTATATGATAAAGTATTGGAAATCGGGTCTGCATTAGAAATAGATTCTGCTATCCTTCAAAACTCCAGCTATCACTGGTAATTCCTAAATAGTTCTTTGGATCCTGGCCACAGAATACAGTAAAAACAGGAGAAAGTACAGCGTGAAAAAGAAATACATTGATGTTGTCACTTAGTCTAGAAAAACTGTTTTCAGATTCTTTTGGACAACTGGGGAGGTTTAGAAGATTCCCGGGCCCACATGGCTTTCTGCGCGTGCGGGTGTGTGTGTCTCTCTCTCTTCTCCTTTACCAAGCAACAGGACAGAAAAGCAAGGCAAAGAGCTGATGCCTTTGCCTTTCTTCCTTCTGTGCACCAGTTTTACAACTGACTGAAACCCAAGAACAGGAAATGTTCTTAAAGCTAAAGGAAAAAGAGTGGATATCCATATATTTCAGTTTCCCAAAGCCTTAAAATGTTTTTCAAGGGGTCGATACTTCTATATTATAAGCATATATCTAAGTATATATTTTCCCTTCTCAGTAATCTCCTGTGGAAGTCTCCCAACACCACCAAATGGCAATAAGATTGGCACCTTGATTGTGTATGGAGCTACAGCAATCTTCACCTGTAACACCGGATATACACTAGTTGGGTCTCACGTGAGAGAATGCTTAGCAAATGGACTGTGGAGTGGCACTGAAACACAATGTCTAGGTAAATATATTAAGGATCAAAAGCTAGAAATGTAGAGTATAACAATGGATATGTTTTCTGCTTTTCTTACTGTTCATCTTCAGTCTTCTGTGCAGTTTCACATTGGGACTGTGCTTGTGCAGGCCAGCCACTGGAGGCTTGCTTACAGTTACTCTAGTATTTCTTTAACACTCCAAGGGTAGCCCTCCCCTGCAAAGCTCATTAGAGGCCATCTTCCCACCTAACGGTCACGTGCTCTGAAGGGAGGAGCTTCCCCTTTCCACCAGTCCTTTCTTCATTGCTGCATTGTAAGGATGTGTTCTCTTCAGCTCTGATTACCATGAGTTTTCTTGAAGTTTTCTTTGTTTCCTGGGAACTCTCCTTCCTTTGGGAAATGTCACAGAAGGCCTTGTTTAAAAAATGTACCCACTGCAGTACAAAAATGTCCTGTTCGGATGAACACCTGCTTTGCTTTTTCTGCTTGGCGCAGCCCGACATTTGCAGCACTGGGCAGTGAGAGAGAGGTAGCCAGATGGCAGGTGGGGGATGGGGTTAGCAAGCAGCAGGAAAATCAAGTCCTCCCTCTCATCCACTGACCCAATAGTAAAGCCCCGGGATGGCTGTGGGAGGGGGAAGATTTATAAGAGGGAACCAGCCGCTCACCGCCCCGCCCAGCCTTTGTCCGGCCTTGTCAGTAACAGCATGGGGCCGGATCCATTTATGGAAATAGGCCTGCATGCCATTTACTGGATATGGGAACCATCTTAAGGGGTCTTGGCATGAGGGCTGACGGGAGCAAACCTGCACAAGGACTACCAGCGCTTGCCCTCATGGCCAGGTGGCAGGGGAGATCATGAAGGGGCAGTTGTCCATGTGATCCCCACAACCTGCCATTCAGTGATCTTCACTCATGCCAGCTGGCTGGGCAACAAGGGTCATCGGTTGGTGGTGGGGTCAGCTGATGCATCGGATTCAGTGGACCCATGCTGTGCCAATGCTTCAATGCCTTCTTCACATGCCTCCCTGGCTCATTCATTCTCACAATGGGAAATAGAGCCTGGCCAGGGCTCATTAGCGGTTCCAGCAGCTAATCGACCATCAGAGCCATCCTCCCTAGAATGGTGGCAGAGTTCTGTTCCTCTGCCTCCTTGGCAAGGCTACCCCTATTATTTCCCTTCTCCTAGACCTCAAGAATGTGATGACTGCCAGTCATGAAAAGCACCTCCAGAACCAAGGCATCCCTTTTCACAAAATCGTGACGCTGCGGGTCCACCAGTTTGGTATCCTCCTGCAGTCTCTCTCCACCCCCTTATGGGGCATTCAGATTCTGAGGAAGAGCAGGTTTTGAGGGCTAACTCCCCTTCTGGTCTGGGCTCAGACTTACCATCGCACCCTTTCCCTGATGACACTGTAGGGGCCCTGACCCAGTGTCACGTATTGAAGACCTGAAGCAAATGATGTGAATGGTTAAATTGTTGGATATAGGTGTGACCTCCAGCAACCCAAGACCACAAGACAAGGCAAGATCTATGCAGTATCACCTGGTATAATCCCTTATCCTGGAGGGTATTGCCAACATCTCCAAGGCCCTCTGGCAAAAAACAGCTAGCTTGGTTGCCACATCCAAAACGCTGTAGAATTTATACAGGGTGCAACAAGAAGTCATACCTATTTATTCAGCTATCCTCTGCCTTCATCTCTCATAGCTGCGGATGTGCAGATGAAACAGCGTACAGGTGCGCATTCCTCACCAGCTGATAGAGATGGGTGTACAATCGATACAGTTAGTAGAAAAGTTTACTCTTCTGCTTCGCTCAACCTAGGCATTGCCAACTATAGTGAAATTATGGGAGGATACCAGTTGTTCCTCTGGGGAAAGATGGCTGCTTATGTAGAGCTTCTGCCTGAAGACAATAAGCCTCTGGCTAAACTTCTCTAAGTGGAAGCATTGTGCCTATCCAAGCAACTGATGAATGCAAACAGACACACCACTGACTCCTCCAAGGCCATGGCTTCAGCCCTCCTACTGAGAAGGCATGCTTGGCTACGCTTCTCAGCTCTCCTTCCTGATACCCAGTAGAAGATGGAAGATCTCCTTTTTGAGAGAACGACACTATTTGCTTCATCGACTGATGATCTTTTATCCGAAATCAAGAAGAACAAGCAAACGGATTGTTCATTAGGCATCATAACATATCCCACCACGTCATACAGGCCTCAGCAGATGTCTAGATTCCACCAATCACAGTCACCATACTCTCAGCACTTGCACCAGCAGCCTCGCTCATCACAGTATTCTACACAACAGCCCTTTTCAGGGTCTGTGACACAGGGCAGGTGTAGGTCCAATCACAGTGCTCGACATTTGGGCTCACAATGTCAGCCACTTCCTAATGAGCCTGTGCAGGGAAGCCACATTCATTTGGGCATTGGTCATAGCCCAAGGATCCTCCCTCCAAGCAGTACATTTGGCAAGTACTGCCAACACAAGAACAGACATCCTCAGCAGAATGGGGCAATCAGAACATGAATGGTCTCTGGGGAAGAGATTGGGCCAGGAGACAGGGAGTTCATGCAGAAAATTTTCCTATTACTCTGGTATTTGAATATCTACGGTCTCTTAAAGAATCTCATCTGGTGGTTTCTTCCCGTAAGGTACATTTAGCTGCTATATCTGCCTACTATGCCAAGATTCAGGACAGGATGCTGTTTTCTCACCCAGCATCCAAGAGTTTTTTGAACGGGTTGTTAAATTTGTTCCCTCCACAGCCATGTATAGTGCTGCAGTGGTCCTTGTCAGTGGTTCTCTCCCAACTCATGTTAGCCCCATTTGGACGGCTAGGTTCTTGTAACTTGCAACTCTTGTCTTTCATGGTCGCATTTTTGATGGAAATCATGTCATCCAGGAGAGTGAGTTGCAGCTTTAAGGGCTGACCATCTGTTTAATAAGTTCCAGACTAGCCATGTAGTTCTGAGACCCAGTTTACATTTTTTTTACCTAATGTGATCTGTAGTTTCCACCTTGCTCGGGACATTATCCTTCCAGTATTTTTTCAATCCCCTACCTCAGAGGCAAAAAAATAACTAAATGCTACATTCTTTGGATACGAAGAGGTCTTTATTGCTTTACTTAGACAGAACAAAAGGCTTCCAGCAATCCCCATACCTTTTTGTATGCTACTCCAGTAGCTCAAGGGGGAGGCTAGCCTCAGCAAAGGCCATTTCTAGAGGATAGTCTTGGCTATTTGCTTGGGGTATGAGCAGGCCATTCTACCATGTCCTCTGGAGCTTCAGGTGCATTCTACATGGGCACAGGCAGTGTCGGCAGTGTTCTGGAGAGGCACTCCCTTAGAGGACATCTGCTGAGCAGAGCAGCAATGCCGTCATCATCAGACGCCTTCATCAATCAGTATTCTGTGGACATGAATGCGAGAAGAAATTTAACACTTGGCAGAGCTGTGCTGCACTCCTTGATCCACTGAAACACACCCTTCCTCCAAGGTAAGGAGCTCTGTAGTTTCCCAATGTGGGACTGCACAGAAGACTGAAGTGGAAAACAGTATTGCACTTACCTGTAACTGTTGATCATCGAGGTGTCTTCTGTGCAGGCATACATTCCCTTCCTCCTACCCCTCTGTGAGTTCATAGGATGCAGTTACATTCATGACACTGTGGCAGTTCAGAAGGACTGAGGGAAAGGGGGGGCTCCTCCCTGCAGAGCTCGTCACCATTGGGTCGGAAGAGGGCCTCTAATGAACTCTGCAGGGGAGGGGCTTCCCATTGGAATGTGAAAGCAATACTGGAGTAGCTGTGAGAGAGCCTCTGGTGGCTGGTCTGTGCAAGCACAGTCCCAATTTGTGCCTGCACAGAAGACACCTTGAACAGATTGAGATCCAACCCTCTTACAGGCAATCATTGCATCTAAATATTTAGTGACTGCTAAGGTAGTTTTTTGATCCTTGTCTATGAGGAAAAACTGGATGATTTTTTTTAGATGGTGAATTCACATAATGTATTAAGAGGGAGAACAGCATGGTTCAACAGGCCTTGGCCGTTAGGCTGGTGGGATGAATTTGCCGCCCAGATTGGTAGAGGCGGGCCGGCAGTTTGGGTGCAAAACCGCCCATATGGGTATCCGAGGGAGGAGGGGCCAGCAAATATAAAAGGCTGGCCCCTCCCCTCCTCACCAGCAGTCCCGCTTAGTTTTCGGCCCACCCTCCTGCCCTGTTAGTAGTGCAGGCTTTAGCTGCTCGCCTGGTTTTTGGGGGCCAGGTAGGAATTTTTTGCCCCTTCCTGATTGGCCAGTGGAAGGGGTGTTTTCGCCTACCTTGCACGGCATCAGTGGCATAGGTGTTTCAGGGTGGGGCTGTTTAGTCAAGTTGGTCACTTTTGTTTGGCTGGGTTCTAGGCGGTATATAGGTTGCGGTACGGTGAGCACCAGCTGACACCTATTATTTGGGTTGAAGGGGTCCTGTGAGTACAGTCTTTGTGCCTTGCGGCACGGGGTGGGGAAAACAGACTGCCTTAGGGACCCACCCCGTTTGGGTTCTCCCTTTGAGCCTAGCAGCTCAGGGGTTAGGGCTACGGGGTTATCCTGCAATGGTTAGCCGGCTGGGTGGGAGCCACTGCTGCTGGCTCCCGTCCGGGGCAGGGTGGCTCCCCCTATTTCATGAGTTAAGGAGGTGTCATTGACCCCTGGCCTTGACCATACTGCAGAAACTGTTTTGCCTTTGCCGTTGGTTCCAGTTAAAGTTGTCCGTTAATAAAGTGGCCCAATGTTTAAATCTAGCAACGTGTCTGCCTCATTATTCCAGTTTGGGGGGCAAATAACTTTCTCTCAAATAAAACCAGATTTCACACTCCAGTAAAATATGTTCTAAGGACTAAAGGTGACCAGATCTACATTTACAAACTCTGAATATTGTATGCCTGCAAATTGGCCGTCCAGTATGGCTGAAGAAAGAGAATTTAACCAAGCGAGCATAAATGTTCTTCTATACTGAGGGATCATTAGATCTTTTAAGTAACTCGTGATAGCATAAGAGAATGGATATGTCATATCAAGAAAGTGATTTAAATTTTGAAAGTTTATATCCTTTCTTGATGTTGTTTGGTAACTTGCATTATATTGCTTTCCTGTATTACCATTTGAGGTTCTGAGTTTCTAAGAACAAGTTACTAAATGAGAGAATGTTTAAAATAGAGGCATTAAGTTTCAATTCAAAAGTTTCAAGTTTCTTTGTATTTAAAATGCTTTGTTAAAAATATATGTTCATACATCTCAAATGTAAAAGTGTTGAATTCCTCATTGATTACAAAAACATATGAAAGAATCCTAGCATTGTTACAAGAATTTCTTTTTCCAAAATTAACTTTTTAGATATAGTCATTAATTCCTTTTCTAGTTTTTTATTTTTTAAAGAGGGATTTCTCTATGAAGTGAAATCAATGCACCATTCTGCACCTTCATCCTTTGCAGTTGTTTTATGTTATATGCTCTAGCAAAAGAATTAGATGATCTGGGAAGACATTGCCTGCCTCTGAGCATCTATAGAGTGAAATTCTGAAATTTTGTAGACCCTCCATTCCTGCCCCTCCTCTTTTCAAATTTCTCTTTGATCTAAATGAACTTGATTTGAAAGAGACTCCAAATTCCTAAAAAGATGAAAAGAAATGGACTGTTGGATTTCAGGGAGAAACTGAGTAAAGAATAATTAAGGGAATATCTCTTAAAAACATTAGATAATTCCACTCTGAGAGTAGTTAATTACCAAATATCACAACTTTCATTCAACCAAAAACTTTCCCTTGTTCTTTAATTATTCTTACCATCTATTTTATTCAATAACGTGGTTCCCTAATAGCCCTACTTTTTTTTTACTATCCCACCCTGATGTTGGGCAGGCACAATCTGCTTGGTGAGCTTGTTTTTCTTTACTTACAATTCCACATGGAAGGTTTTTGCTAGTTGTAAAAGGGAATAAAAGGAGTCTGTTACCATGCTGTTGGTTTTTTGTATGATCTCATCCCACTTTATTTGCCCATTGATTGAAGGAAAATGTGCAAAATTTACACTTCTTGTGCTTTAATCCATTGAGCACAAGCTGCCTGTCCACCTCCAGTTATAAAAGAAACATGAGAAAGGCACCACCAGGTCTTAACTTGATGTAGAGGAGGAGGAGGAGGAGAAGCACCACCACCACCACCACCACCACCACCACCTGTGAAATCCATGGGCAATTTTGCCAGTCAGCTATTTCTGGCTACTTGAGTAAACATTTACTTTAGGGACCACATAGTTCTGCTTCCATGGCTGGTTTTTTCTTATCTATACAGTCACAGATTTGTAGAGTTCAGATGTATGTATCAGCCTCTTTCATTAAGGATGACTAGACTATTTACTAACAGGTAAGCAACAAACCAAGAAAAGACCTAATATCCTCCAACCGTGTACCTGTCACAGTTTTTAAATCTAATGTTGTTTCATGGATCATGGTCTGCCATGGAATCAGTTTCTTAGTTTTTAACTGACCAGAGCTTCAGATTTTCATGTCTGCTATATGACTTTATTCAGGACAATAAATAATGGGCCCAACCACTAATACTAGTCCAATGCAAAAGGAATAACGTGAATTAGGCCACTGGGCAGTTTTACATCTGACGTGAGACGGAGAGAAAACCAGAGCTGAGAAGCCCATATTGACCCTGTCTTTAAGGGATTTCAGCAAAAAATGCTAGACAGTTGTAATCCAAACTTATAGAAAAGTGTGTTTTTGAATGAATTAATTCTGACACAAAGATGGCATTTTGGAAAATCAGTGCTAATGAAGCTGCAGCCATTAGTATTCACACAATGTTTCCCTTAAAAAGCATAAGTAATGTCGGTTTAAATGCTCATTCACAATTTGAACTTCACAAATCAGTAACCTGTCATTACCATAAGCATGTTATGACTAAGGGGCTAGATTTTTCAGTCTGCCTTCATTGCACCCTCTGCTTTTATACTAACATTTTCTGTCCAGAAATTAATTGCGATTGTCACTCATTTTAACTCAGATGTGTAGATTACAAAGTGGTTGTTTGGTTTTCAGAGAAGAATAGTCTAGTGAAGAGAAAATGTGAGGACAATTAGAATTCCATAGCGGCTATGAACAATAGTTACTATATCTCCAGTTATACATCTGCACATTTAAGAGATGTAATGGCATATATGCAACCACACAATTCTTCTCTCACTTGGAGCATTTCTATTGCACAAGAGATAGCGGCTATTTCTGTCAATTCCTTTACCGCTGTAGACCTCACTTGCTCTACCTTTTGGAGGACTCAGTGGGCTGCAGCAGGAGGGGAAAATAAGAAAAGATCTACATTGTTTGTGTGTGTGTGTGTGTGTGTGTGTTAAGAAAGCACAAGTCACTTCCAAATTACAGCAACCCTATGAATTAATGACTTCCAAAGCATCCTATTGTTAACATCCTTGTTAAGGTCTTGCAAACTGAGAGCCATGACTTCTTTGATTGAGTCAATCCATCTCTTGTTGGGTCTTCCTCTTTTCCTGCTGCCTTCAACTTTTCCTAGCAGTAGAGGGCAGTCACATGCACAAGATAAAGCAGGGGGGAAGCAAGGTTATTTCCTCTGGAGAAATTTGACCCGCAGTTGCACGATCACACAGTCCTTGGAAGCTGCGGGCACAGCCCGCCACTGCGTGATCAGATACAACCACAGGTGAGTCAGGGTTGTTGGGTTTTTAGGCTGTTTGTTTCTAATGCGTTTACACGAGGAATCGAGGAATCGCATCTCCGCACTGAGGTCTCCCTATGGAGTTTGCGATGATGTGCATACCAAGAAAGGGGGGGGGACAACAGCACAGAGTTGGGATGGCCTGATCAGACCATCCCGGTGCCATGAGAGTGCGCTGGAGCAGACACGGGAAACTCCATCCATGGCCTATCGCAACCCGTTTACTACCGGATTTTCCCTAGTGTCTTTTTACTCCGCTTCTGCCGACGGGTGCAGGGTGCTTCCCAGATGTTCATATCTGATCGCACCCTTTAAATCCGCCTGGCATTTGAGCCTCTGGCGGGGCTAATTGTGTGTGTGATCGTATCCTTATTGTATCCTTATTGTCTTTTCCAGTTATTGTTATCTTCTTATAATGTGATCAAAGTAGGATAACCTCAGTTTGGTCCTTTTAGTTTCTAGGGAGAGTTTAGGCTTGATTTGATCTAGATACACAAAAAACCTCATAAATTAGTAAAGGGTACAGTATAGATGAATTTGAAATGTGATATTGGAAGAGAGTTTTACAGATACCATGGACCACCAAAAACACAAATAAGTGGATCCTAGATAAAATAAAGCCTGAATTCTCCCTAGAAGCTAAAATCACCAAACTGAAGCTGTCATAAGTTGCTGTAGATTTTCTGGGTTGTGTGGCTGTGGTCTTGGCATTGTAGAACCTGACGTTTCACCAGCCCTACCCCACCTTCCTGAGTAGATATAAATTACCTGCCTACCATTTTTCTTCTCACCTTGACACAGAGAGTACTTCATCTTTCTTTGTTATACCTCTGAGGATGCCAGTCACAGCTATTGGCGAAATGTCAGACCACGGCCACACAACCCGGAAAATCTACAGCAACTAATGAACTCAGCCGTGAAAGCCTTCAACAACATATTGAAGCTATCATACTTTGGCCACATTTTGAGAAGAGGAGAATCACTGGAGAATACAATAATGCTATGAGGAGATAAAGGCAATAGGAATACAGGAAGACCCAACTCGAGATGAATTGGCTCAAAGAAGCCACAGCCCTAAGTTTGCAAGATTTGAGAAAGGCTGTTAACAATAGGATGTTTTAGAGCTCATTAATTCATAGGGTGACCATTAGGGGTGTGCATTTGGCTTTGCCAAATGGAATAAATACCCGAAAAATACCTTGTTGGTTAAAAAAAAAAGTGATTTATCAGTTTTTAAGTTGTCTATCAGTCGTAGGACCTCCTCTCTCATCACTTCAATCTGACTCAGGTCTCTCAGCACTGCTCCGGAAATCAGTGGTTCTGGAGTGGGCAAGCTTTTCTCATCTTCCACAGTGAAGACAGAGGCAAAAAATGCATTCAGCTTCTCAGCCATTTCCCTATCATCCTTCAGTACTCCTTTTACCCCTTGATCATCCAACGGCCCCACTGCCTCCCTGGCTGGTTTCCTACTTCTAATGTATTAAGCTTAAACTGCACAGCACCGGCCCAAAGCTGGCTGGGGTAAGGAACTACTACTCCCTCCCCCACTCCCTCTCCCTCCCCTGTTCTGTTAATCAAATTAAATAAATGTACTTTAAATTTACTTTGAAAGTATTTTAATTAGCGCCCCCTGTGCCACGGTGCCCCCCATGAGAAATTTCCTGGCTACAGGGGTGGTCACAAATGTAACAAATATACATATTTCTGTCAATTAACTCATGTTTATCAAATAGCATATTTACAGTTACAGGAAAAATGTTGTGATCCAGCCCTGAATTAAAGAGATTAATCAAGTCTAGTGATTTCAATATATTAGAAGGCTGATTGAAGGAAGGTTGGTAGATTAGGGATTAAAGGATCAATTGGATTCCCCCCCCCCATCCTGGCTGATACATCTCATGGGGTGATGAAAGTTTAAGGCAGTATTTTAATTATTATTATTGATGAAAATAAATGTAATATGTACATTCAAAGTAATTTTCAATGTGTATCTCCCTGATTGTTTTCTTTTATACTAGCTGGACATTGTGGTTCTCCAGATCCAATAGTAAACGGCCACATTAGTGGGGATGGTTTCAGTTACCGTGACACTGTGGTGTACCAGTGTAATCCTGGCTTTCGACTTGTTGGCACATCTGTTCGAATATGCTTGCAAGATCACAAGTGGTCTGGACAAACACCAGTTTGTGTCCGTAAGTAGCACATTTTCTACTGTTTGGTTTTCCCCCCCAAGCAATAAGAAATAATAAAAAAAATGGCCCAGAGTTTAAATGCTCACCTCTGCTCACTGGGCGAGCAAGGAAGTAAGGTTCATGCTTGCTCTTTCCCCTGCTTGCCACCACATCCTAGTCCAACTAGCTCAGTGATAAACAGTAACCAGCAGCAGGTGTGACAGGGTGCAAAATGTATTTCTTACAGGACTTGTCAAGAAGTCATAAAGAGAGTTAAGAAGAGAAGAAGAAGAAGAGATTAAGTAGCACATTTTCTACTGTTTGGTTTTCCCCCCCAAGCAATAAGAAATAATAAAAAAAATGGCCCAGAGTTTAAATGCTCACCTCTGCTCACTGGGTGAGCAAGGAAGTAAGGTTCATGCTTGCTCTTTCCCCTGCTTGCCACTACATCCTAGTCCAACTAGCTCAGTGATAAACAGTAACCGGCAGCAGGTGTGACAGGGTGCAAAATGGATTTCTTACAGGACTTGCCAAGAAGTCATAAAGAGAGTTAAGCAGTGTTCATATACGCCATTAGCTTTATGCTACCCACAGCACATTGCCTTGCGCAGTGTTCATATATGCCATTAGATTTATGCTACCCACAGCACATTGCCTTGCAAGGTTAATCCATTCTCAGCCCTTTGATTTCAGCAGCCTTTGATTGGAGTAACTCTGAATAGAATTGCATTGCTACTAATCTAGAGCTAGTGAATGTACTTGTTAGTGTCAAGAGTTACAGGCTAGAAATACATTTCATTTCAGCTCACTCATAGACTCTCTAGGCAACCTTCTCCCCAATCTGTAATGGGGAGATAACAATACTAATTTACCTGAAACGTTGATTATATGTGTTACTGACATGTGAAGTATACAAAGTGCTTTGAGAAGTGTGCAAAGTGCTTGCAAGAAAAAAATCCTAAATAAATCCATCTCATGCCTTCTACAGGTTAAAACTTAATTGCTCAAATCTCGGTTATTGTTATTCATACCACTTCTAACAGGATTAGGTCATCATACCACCAGAATAATGTTTGGTGAGGACATTTCATATAATGTATTTCACTAGACAATATTTTAATATATTAACTTCAGTTCGTGTCATTTTTAAAATTTGTTCTAATGCATAAATAAAATCATAATCTGATGGGACTGGATCCAGAGAACATTCAGCAGAATTTTGCTCATGGAAAGGATCTTTTGTCCCTCTCCTTTCCTCTTATGGCCACACTTTCCCCCTTGGACAGCCAGGGCTAATCATAGGACGAAGCATTGGAAGTTGCAGCTTAAAGGAGAAATCTGTGAAATCTTGGACCTGTCTGATTCATGAGCTTACCCTCTGCTTACCCAAGGGCCACTTTGGAGCGAATCTTTGGCATTTGAAATAATGATTTTTTTTTAAGTTCCTAAATCAATATTTTTGCTTAGTCTGAGCAAGTCGTATTCTATGAGCAATCTAGGACAACAAAATATTAGACCCATTAATTGTATATTATTTGTTTTTATGTTGTATGATTCAGTGTTCCTTTGGCTTTTATGTGTGGACATGCACTGGTCTATTTTTCCCCTTTTGTTTGTCAGTAATTATTAATTATTTTCTTTTACAAGTTAGTTTTAGTGCTTCTGAGATGAACATTAAAAGTGGGTGAATTTATTAGCAACTGCCACAATCTTGTTTGTATTAAAGTGACTAATTTGTCTTTGGGCACAAATTTAATAAAACAACAGAATATATGCTTTTAAAATAAATAAGGTAACCATATACTTATTCTAAATATTATGGTGTGTACAAGGTCCAAATACCACCCAAACAGTATGTATTTGCGCCACTACTTCTTTTCCACTCCTGAAGGTTTGGAGTAGTATTTGAAATAAGAGGAAAACTTTTTTGTGTGGTGGATATTTAAATGGCTAAGCCATTTACTAGTTAAATAATCACAGATATTTTGTATAAATTCGTTAAATGGATAATTAGATCAATTTATCCAGAATGTTCCAAGGCAAAGTTTTCTCATCCTCACCCTTTATCACCTGCGTCCCACTGCAATCAGGATTCCACTCTCCAGACCTAAAATGGTCTCTCTGTATTTAGTTTTTTTTTCTTATCCTGTATCTTTATTTCATTTTAACTGCGATCACACTTCACCAGTGCCCCAATTCAAATATAAACAAGTCTAGTGAATTATTTTATCACATTTGTACTAGTTAAGGTGCTGTTTACTAGACAGCCATGAATGAAAGCATCTTGTGATCTGAGCATCTTGATATCACAAGCAGTATTAAACTATCACAGTGGGGTTCATGTATAATGGTATCTAAGGAAAAGTGGGACAAAAGAATACTACAGTTGTAGTTTTTTCCCATTGGCCTTTATTTGAAATGCAACAGTCGCAGACTGTTGATCTGTCAAGAGGCTGGCAACTTGTGACAACAATAATGATGATGTGGTAGAAGTCGATGCGGAGGCTGAGACCTTTTGTTTCTGGAAGGCATCACAAAAACAGCATCTGTCAAGAGTAATGAGGGGTGTAAATAGGAGCTGACTGACTGGAATATGCATTTGCTGAAAAGGACAATAATCTAAACACAAGTGTCCTTCACTATCACAATTTTCACAGACAACCTCAATTTTACATTGCAACAACATACCATTTATAATCTCTTCTGGCAGCTCACTTGAATTGTTGGATTGTGGTGAAGAGAGTGACCCCAACACATTATTAGACAAATCCAGATCTCTCAGGGGGATGGGTTTCTCATTGGCTATTAATTACAATAACTAAAGACCTTCATATCCTGATGCAATAAGACTCTGATTAGCAGTTACTATTACAAACTATCATATTATACAGCTTGTGAGCTTCCACTTCTGGAGCGACAATGTTGAATTAGATGGATCTTTTGGTCTAATCCAGCACATTTTTTAAAAAATACATAAAATCATTTCTGATGATTGTTTATGATACCATCAACAATAGTTATCTTTGGTGTATATAAAAAAACTTCATAATCTCTTATAGGGTTTTTTTTTTTAAAGCAGTCATTGTTGCATTGAGTAGCTGCCCATTTTGTTCTGTTTTAAAAGACTAGGGACCTTACATCCATATTTTCATTTATGGCCCTTTCTGCACTGACAGCTTGCTCCAGAGAATCCGAGGAGTCAAGTCTTAAGGATTGACTTAATAGTTGCATTCCCTCTGCACTGTTTTCCCCCTTCTGGTTTATTTATTTGTGTATTTTGTATTAATTCTGCATCTACAAGAAAAAAACCACATTTTTTGCCTAATTAATATGAATTCAACAAGAGACCAGTTTTACTGGAAGATCTCGGGGTTTGTGCATGTCACAAATTATGCAGGGTTGTTGTAGGGCCTAAAAGGTCAGTACTTACGTGTTCTGTACAGTACTTAGTGTAGTGCTGACCTTAAATAAATATTTTTATTTTTTAAATTCCCGGAGGGATATTTTTATTTTTGCAATACACTACAAACTGCAAAGAAAATATGGAGGAAAGGGACTACATCTAGGGAAAAAGAAAAGGTAACCACACTATACTAAACCCCCAAGAGGAGGAGATCTTATCCCTGTTAGTGAAAGTGTTAGTAATATAAGTGTTAATAAAACAATATACTTGTAGAGTTCTTGTTTGTCTCAGCTTCAATGTTAACATGTTAATTTGTTAGTTGTTATGAGAGAGCTTTCTGATAATCTTCTTATTCTTCGCTTCAAAAGGCAATTTTCAGAGTCCTTCTGCCTATACTTTGGTTTTCTGTCTCTAAAGTCATATACTACTCTGGCTGCCTCTGCACCGGTTTCCACAGCAGAGTCCTCCTCCGTTCCAGAGGTGGCAGAGTCACTTGATTTCATTTCTTCCTCTTTGGAATCTTCCTCCGTTCCCAGCTGGTGTCGCAAAAATTCCTTGGCTTTAAAGGTGGAATCAATCTTTTCTCTTTTATCGTTGATCTTGAAGATGGCACCCTCCAGGATCGCTCACCTATATGAAATTCCATTAGTTTGAAGAAAATAAATTAAGTCCTTATAGTTTTTCCTCTTTTGACGAATTTCAAATGGAATGTCTTTTAAAGTTTTAATGATTAAATTACCCATTTTCAGTGGAGTTGCTGATGTCGCCTTTAAAATAGCATCTCTGGTCTGTTTTCTTGAGAATCTGACCACAATTTCTCCAGGCAGGCTAATTTTTTTGATATAATTGGAGTAAGCCCTATAAGCCCTATAATCTCTTTTACTACTTCACCTGCTGGAGCGATGATCTCGCTAAGTATCTTCCTCAGATCCTCCTTCTCTGCCTCAGGAACTCCCTGGAATCTGAGAATCATGTTGGCTTTTTCCATCTGCAGCTGTAACAAACTGTTTTCTTGTAGATTTTGCTTTGTTTCCACTTCTCCCATCCTTTTCTTCATTTTCTTGCTTGTGGTGTCCAACTCCTTAATTTTCCCAGCTGCCTGCTCCACCTTCTCCATTTCTTTCAGTTGGAGCTTCTGAGATGCAAAGTTTTTATTCATTACAGTCAGTTGCTGGTTAATACCATCGAGTTGCTCCATCACTGGCTTGAGCATGTCCGCTAGCATTTTCATGACATCTGTTCCCTCCTCCGGTTTTGGGCTCTGGCTGCCAGGCGGTTTTGTTTTCAGCTTTCTTTGCACAGCTGCCATTTTTTACGATTTGTTTACAGTTTCTGACACTTCCCTCCAACTCTAAAGATCGCTTCCACGCTGTCAGCAATCAAGTAAGCCTCTCAAAATACACTCGCTGTTTTTCCTCCCCCTTCCCACTTCGACTTGCTTATCAGTCTTTTCACATAAGTGGCGTCCCTCTTTGTGATCCGCTTTCCCATGAGGGGGGGTAATTTGCTTTTTATATTCGTCCGCTTAGTTTGAACTCACGTTCATTGTCGGTCAGGTTCTCTGAACTTGCTTGCTTCAACGCTGTTCCGCTCGATCTCCAGTGCTTGTCCCGGTCAAAACAGCTTGTGCCCGAAGGCCACACAGTGGTCGGACCGTCAGGGCAGAGAGGAGTCTCAATTCTCTGGCTTTACGCCATCGAAGAGGCTACCCCCCAAAAGCTCTCTGGCCTGGAGCCTATCCCAAAGGTTCCGTGGGGGCGCTACTTGAGGTAGCGCCCCTCCAACCCGCTGGTGTGCGGATCGTTCCCCCACAGTCCTGGGAGAACGTCCGCCATCGCTGCTCCATAAACTGGAAGTCCCTTAAATAAATATTAAATGGCAATTATTATGGTTACAAGTAAGCTTAAGATTTGTTTGTGGATCATGTTTATCTCCCAGTAGATGCACCTTTTGCTTTAATATTGAACCAGTTCACAGGCAGTTCTAAAACAGTTGTATTGGTACAGATATTGGGCTGGTGTACATGCCACATTTATATGGCACTGCCTTTTGCTCTAACTAGTGCCTTTTCAAAAAATGGAATAAACAGCAACTTCCGGTCAGTACAGTGTAGCGATGGGTGGTTTCTCGGCGGCTCTGAGACGCCCGATCCTTTTGCGCTCTTTTTGAAGCCTTCTCGGCTACCAGGTGGGCTTTGCTAGTCCTCCTGGAGAGAGGGCTAGTTGCAGAGGGCTCTGTGATGGCTCCTCCCGAATCGGCAAACGGGGGGTGTCCGCTACCGCCCTGAAGCGGGAGTGTTCTACAGACAGAACATGGACGCCATGTTCTACCAAGCTGCGACCATCTGTTTTTTTTAACTTTGGTGGGATTTAAAAACGAAATAGAACAAAAAGTACAAAGTACCTTTAAAAAAGATCAGTGCATGTAGATTACGAGAAAGGTGTTTGGTGTTAAACTAAATACCCCAAGTAGTGAGCTCCAACTTTAAGAAAATCAGCCGGGAAGTGGCTGGGGGTAAGAAAAAAGTCTCCTTTTGTTTGAACTGCTGGTGTTTGTTAGAAACGAATAATGAAGAGCGATTGAAATGCAACAAATTAAAATGCCTTGTGAGAACTGAGAGTTTGGAAAGCTGAGAGACTGTTGAGAAATGGAGATGGAAATAGAAGAAGAGGAGTTTGACCTAGACACTCGGAAATTTAACTTGGGAACAATTTTCAAACTTTTTGAGGCGAGAAATTAAGCAAGCAGTTAAAATTGCCTGTAACAATCTAGTGAAAGACTATCAAAGTATAAATCAAGATGGAAGTGTAAATGAAAAGCAACCTCAGCAAGCCCAAGGACTTACAGAAGAACAAAGTGATACTTGGGAGAAGACGAGAGAATCACAAAATAGCAACTTGAATTCAGCGGAAAAAGGAAACCAAAATACAGAGACACACAAGAGATGCTGTTTAAAAAGAAAAACAAGCCGTGTTTTGGGGAAGGAAGTAACAAAAAAGCTATATGTGAACAAGAACATGAGGGGAAAAGGAAAGGGGGAAGACAGGTTTTGGTAAAGAAATTGAAAGTGGAAAAAAGAATGTTGAATGACCCTGTGAAAAATGGAGGAAGTGACTTTGAATTGGAACCTCGTGAATATAAAAATGCAAGACATTTAAGTGAAGTTGAAAGGGAAAAGGAAATGCTAGAAAGAGGCGGGGGGAAGGGAAAGATGAAAATTATGTTGGGTGTAGTATGTTTTTTTTTAATATGGTCTGGGTATAAACGGTTTTAAAAAAGATGGACCTTGTTAATGGGAACAAAAGATAGGAAATGGTACAAGTGCAACTAACTGGCAGTTTATTTTGGTGGACTGATTTATTGCTGTTTTATTAATCCACTTAAGCTTCTCTTCCTTTACATGATGAGTATGGATGGATTTAAGTATGTGAATGGATCTTGGTTGTATTATATAATCTTCGATGTGGTCTCTGTGCTTCACACCCATGGGATCTAGTGCGCACGCGCTTGATCGATCAGCATTGTAGCAAGCTCTTTTAACGGATTTTCATGCCCAGACCTCAGGCATGTGCAGGAACCCCACCGCGCATGCCTAGAGGGGAGGGCACGAACATCCCGCCAGTTCCTTTCTTACTGCCATGTTGGAAAGACCTTTTTCTTCGTTGGTCTGATCGGTTCGCATGTTTTGGCTTTTTGCCTCACGGCTCTTTGGATTTTTTCCTCAGTTTATTCCTTTTCTTCATCGTTCTTTCAAAAAACTTTAAAAAACCTTTTATTTTCTGCTGAGGGGGAGGTTGCCGCTTTACCTCAGTCGGGCCTTCGGACTACCCCCCCTCACCCCTTCTTTCTTCTTCATTTTGGTTTCTATGGAGAAGAAGTGGGGCTTTTTTTAATAGGTGCAAGGGTTCCATAGTAAACTTGCTCCTCCTGACCATCATACCCTTTGCATACTTTGTCTCAGAGAGTCTCATCGACCCGAATCCTGTCGCCATTGTGCTCGCTTTTCAAACCAGACCCGAAAAAACCAAGCTGCATGCCTTAAAGCGGCCCTGCTAGAATCGGCTCTACATCCTTCCTCAGCAATAGACGACGAGAAACCATCGACATCAACGGCTCCAGCATTGAGGCCTGCCTCCGATATCGGCCAACCGACACTGAAGCCTCCGGCATCGAAGGCACAATCCTCCACTTCCACGCCGGTGAAAAAGAAGTCCAGGCCAAGTAAGGAGCAAAAGTCCGCAAAGAAGGGCTCTTCCAAACCCCTTAAGGTGGCAAAGAAGGGGAAAGTAGCAGTGGCTGCACTGGGTGACGCCCCTAAAGTGCCTCCCGCTCCAACGACTGTATCGGTACCGGAGGTCCACGTCCCTCCACCGATACCAACCATCCATGTCTTGGACTCCCCTGTCCACCAAATGGAGCGTCCTTACTCCGACATCGAAACTGTAGAGCTCCTAAGTCATCAAATGGATGCAGAGCCTTCTCCGTCTCCTTCCCGGTCGTCGCCGTCGACGGTATTGGAAGCTCCCAACATCGATCCACGTTGGCACCGATATGCTTCATGCGATGCAGATCGTCACCCTCCACGTCTGCACAGTCAATCTGTCGATATCGACAACCAAGATTACGCGGGCTCCTCTCAAAGACATGCTGCCACTTTGTCTCCGAGACGTCCACGGTCCAGAAGTCGATCCCCGCGAGTCTTCTTACCCCTGCCACCTCCTCTGTCTTGGGATCAACGACAGATGAGGTATCTGTATGGGGCTAGACTGCTAGACTGGAGCTCATAGTTTTTATTACTACTATTTTCTCCATGTGCTGTAAGTACTAACAAAAATAAATAAATAAAATGAGGTGGATTCCTGCCTTAGGCTTATAACCTGTCTTGTATTTTCTTGCCACAGCAATCACATGCGGCCATCCTGGAAATCCTGTTAATGGAGTCACAAATGGCACTGAGTTCAATTTGAATGATGTTGTCAACTTTACCTGCAATACTGGATATTTACTTCAAGGGGCCTCCCAAGCACAGTGTCGCAGCAATGGACAGTGGAGTAGTTCTTTACCTACTTGCCGAGGTAAGAAAAAATACTGTACAGCTGCTATGGTAAAAAAAGAAGACTTTTTCTACCATCCTCTTATACAGACCTTGAACTTTAAGGATTGAATTCATTTCTCTTGAATAAATGTCAAAAGCATATCATTGTTTTGTCTTTTTTAAACTTTGTTTTTCTACCCAGTCATTGCATTGCCAAAAAACAGAGGTGTCAGACTCATTTGTTATGAGAGCTGGATCTGACATAAATGTCACTTTGTTGGAATAATAGAAAGAAATGAATTGGAAGCACTTTGTTGGGCTGGGCCATGCGTGCCATAAAGTGTAACACAAAGTACCACTACTGAAAAAGTCCCTCACCTCTGCAGGTGGGGACACAGAGAGCAGGGATTGTGTATATCCTTAGTTGGATTTCACTCCTGCTGACTACACTTCCTACTTTAGGTCATGTTAAGGTTGCCAACTCTGGGTTGAAAAATTCTGGAGATTTGGGGGAGGAGCCTTGGGGGGCAGTGTTTGGGAAAGGGAAGAAGCTCAGCAGGGATGTGATGCCATAGAGTCTACTCTCCAAAGCTGCCATATTCTCCAGGGAACTGATCTCTGTATTCTGGAGAACAGTTGTAACCCTGGGAGAATGCCAGGTCCCACCTGGAGGCTGGCAACCCTACATCCTGTACTTTCTGTATAAGGACTGTTATGAGCTTAATTTTATTTTCTTTCTCTGAGTAAGTGATTCCAAGTTAAAACTGCATTATAGTTCAGACAAAGAGTTGACCTTGCTAGGCACAGTACTAAGTCTAAAATAATCAAATTCAGAGATCTAAAATTGAAATATTAATACTGAAAATCTCAGGTACTGTGTTAAGTAAAAAACATCTAATTCAGCGCACCTCATGTTCTGCCACTATTATGATTCTCGTTCTTCCTCATCTGTTAATGTTAGTCAGTAATGTACACTTTAGTATGATGCAAAGCACAGGTCAGATTGAACTACATGTTACAGAGAGCATGGGGAGAACTCAACCCAGGAATGCAGGAATTGGTAGTACCATGTTTTCATAATCTATAGTTCAATCTTCATGGACTTTGTAATGCTGAGGTACCTCAACAAAGATTTTAATGTAGTACTAACTTTTAATATATGTTGCTTATAAGTTCAGTTGAGACATGTGGAGTATGTCTCCATAAGTACATGATTTGGAAGTGGATGGAAATGAGTATATAATATACTTTGATCTCATAATACTAGAACTTGTGAGGGGCACACTATGACTTTGATTGGCATTATGACTTTGATTGGCCTAGATTCAGAACAGACAAAGGAAGTCTTCGCAACATGCGTATTTAACCAATGTAATTAGCTGCCACAAGACATGGTGATGGCCACTGGCTTTGATAGGTGTAAAAGAGGATTATACACATTCGTAATGCATGGGCCTATCAATACCTCTTTGCCACAATAGCTAAATGGAAACAGTTGCTTGGATCTACCTGCTGGCTTCATAGCTTAGAAGATCCAGAAAAGTATGTGGCTCACCACTGTTTGAAATTGTTTGTTCTTCTACATAGACCTTTTCCTTATCCTGCAGGGGAGGAGGTGTCTTACATTCTGTCCAACCAATTTTCCTCATTGTGTACTGTAAGATCAGTAGAGAATAATAAAGTTTCACTAAGCATCAAAACAAACCACAGTGTTAAACATTCATCTAAGCAGTTTTCCAAGCATGCCGTGTTAGTAATGTACTTTTCACTGAACATTCACATTTTATCTGAAAACTGCATGAAGGACTATTTTTAACATTTAGTCCTCAAGGGTTTGAATCTACTCTGAGTTTCCAGTGTCATTGCCTTTCTTCCTTTCTCAACATACTAAATTCAAAATGCCAGAATTTATTTTTCATGTAATCCTTGGCAGCTGTCATGGCGGGAGAGCAATCTCCTTCTGTTTATGCCTTGATTTGCAACTGGGTGCCTAGAGTGAAAGGCAATCATGGGAGTCAACTAGCTTATATCTGTACTCCAACCAGCTTAAAGTGTCATAGTTCTACCACTACCCTAAAATGTACATTTAACAAAAAGGGGTATTTTAAATCATAGCTGGGCATTTTTAAATGTGGTATCAGTTGCCCTATAATTCTTGATTTAGTGCAACAAACTGCTTCTCTCCCCATCAAGTTCTGGAAAAGAAAAAGAGAAATACCAGGCATACTGTCTGCAGTGGAAAGTACCCTTCTCTTCAACAAAATATGCTCTGGAGATGTGAGCAAGATACATAGTTCCCCAATCTGCTCTTGACTGGAGATCTGTATTATACAGAATTAAAATATAATTGATAGATCTATATTAAAAAGTAATTGATAGTAAGATAGACAGGGCTTCATTGGAAAGTATATACCCCACTTTGTCCTAACACAAGGTAAAGTTAGGAGTAGGTTTGCTATACAGTAGTATAGCACAAATCCAGGCAGTCTGACTTGTATGTTATGCCAATCAGTCTCTTTAATTTTTGCATTAAGATGTGTTAGTCTGTCTGTAGCAGTAGTCCCAATCAGTCTCTTCCATTTTTGCATTAAGATGTATTAGTCTGTCTGTAGCAGTAGAAAATAATAAGAATCCAGTAGCACCTTAAAGACTAATAAAATATATGGCATAATAAGAATCCAGTAGCCCCTTAAAGACTAATAAAATATATGGCAGGGTATGAGCTTTTGTGAGTCACTGCTCAGTAGAAAGCTCATACCCTGCCACATATTTTGTTAGTCTTTAAGGTGCTATTGGACTCTTGCTCATTTCTACTAATTTTTTCATTGCTCACCCTTTGGATGTATGTCTCCTTCTATCAACTTCCACAGAAAGTTGTGGAATGATCAAATCAAGCATCTTTTTAGCTGACCATTTCATCATGCCAGGATTTGCCCCCCCGCCACCTCAGAGGCAGTCCATGTGATAAGATGGGAACTACAAGTTTTATTAAAATACAATTACCTTGTGCCCAATACTGATTAGAACTGCAATGCCAGGCAAGGATGGAATTAAGGCTGTCTAGTGTAAAATGCAATAAAAATGTTATATAAAAAAGGAATTAAGGCTGTCTCCACCCCATTCACCAGTAGTATACAATGCATGACCAAAGCTCAGATGCTGCTGGTGAATAAAGGGAAAGA